AAAGGTTGGGGACCGCTGCTTCAGAACTTCATGTGAATTTTGCAGGCATGATATTCTTCCGATTAAAATCGGAATTCCGATTTTTTTGGGAATCACCCCCCCCCCTCCCCCCCCCCCCTTCTCCTCCTCCTTCCCCTCCCCTCGGAGGCCTCGAGTCAGGAGTTGCTGGCGCGGCTCCACGTGGCTCCAGTCCCGCGTTGCCTCAGGAAGGGAAAGGCAAAAAGGAAGAGCCGCGGCGGCGCTTTGCAATGGCAGCAGCGGCTCCTGGTTTTGCCTTTCCCTTCCCGAGGCAACGCGGGACTGGAGCCGCGTGGAGCTGCGCCGGCGGTAGCAACTCCTGACAGCCCCAGCCGAATACCTGAGCGGAGCCCGGGCGGTGCGAGCGGAGGCCGCTGAGCGGCAGGAAAAGGGAGCTGGGCCAGCCACAGACCAGCCTCTGTGCAACACGCCGCCGCCCGGCCCTGGCGAGGGAAAGCAGGGGGCGCTCCCCGGGCGCGCGGCGGGGGGTCTCTTGGCCGGCCCCGATCTTTTTTTCAGAGCGGAATATCATGCCTGATTTTGCTAAAACATCATTTCTCTCGCTAAAACATCGTTAGTATTTCCTTATTTCTTTCCAAGAGCTATTTGTTCTCCAGAGTCATTGTCACACTTTGCTGCTGGTACGCAATTTCAGAATTTCATAAAAATAGTGAGATATTAATATTTATGGCTGTAAAATATATTTTAAAGGATCTAAATTTCAAAATGGTTTAGAACAGTGGTTCCCAAAGTGGGCGGCAGGCAGCGGCGGCATGTTGGGAAAGTATTCCCGACGTGTCTGTGGGGGCGGTGCCTCAAACGCGGCAGCGGCAATTGCTCTACTTTCCAAACATGCTGCCGCTTCCTGCCTGGGCTTCCTCAACCCTGCCCTGTACCGGCTCCAGGAAGGAGGGAACAGCACTGCCCTCTACGACGTGAGTGTCCCGGGGGACAGCTTGGGAGGCTGATCCCTGGTGGGAGGGGCAGCCTGTGAACTTGCTGTCAGGCACGGCAGCTACAAAGAGGGGCGGGCTTGGCTGAGTGGGATCCTGGATATTGGGCATGTGGTCAAAGGTCCCCTTCCTCTTTCTTCCTACCTGTCTGTCTGTCTGTCTACCTATCTATCGACCTACCTACCTATCCATCCATCCATCCATCCATCCATCCATCCAAAAGGTCTGCCTGCCTGTCTTCCTGCCTGCCTGCCTACCTACCTACCTATCCATACATTCATCCAAAAGGCCTGCCTGCCTGCCTACCTACCTACCTATCAATATATCTATCTATCTACCTACCTACCTATCTGTCTGTCTGTCTCTGTCTTTCTATCCATCCATCCATCCATGCTTGAGGCGCCGGCCCCGCAGGCAAATTCAGTCAGGGAGAGAGGGAGAGGGGAAGGGGGGAGAGAGAGAGAGGGAGAGCGCTGATGCATCAGATTGAAATGAGGCCTAGTTTAGACTGAGGCCCTTTTCCACATTGAAACATCTTTGCCAGCACATTTTAACATCTTTGGCTTCTATTAAAGGTTTTGTGGACAAAACATGGTCAAGACTATCCGGAAGCTCTCACATTTTGTTGAGGCTTTAAACAGGATCCATTGGACAAGATCTCCAACCTAAAAAATTACTTTTCCCCAATATATTACAGTGCCAATTCTGAAGAAGGCAAAACCAAAATGTACTGGTAAATTACAAGAAGAACACACACACACACACACTCACACAGGTGATTGGACTAGAATAGATATCTCATTATCTTTCTCCTCCCTCTCTCCTTCATTTCTTTTTCTTTCTGCCCCTTCCTTCCATCCCCCTCTTTCTTTGTCCCTTTTTCTTTCTTTCCCTTTTCTCTTTCTTTTCTTCCTTTTCTCTCTCTCTCTCTCTCCCTCTCTCAGGCTCACCCCATTGACTTGGTGCATGGCTCCACTCGGACTTACTTGGGCAGGTCCCTCTGGTGCAGTGGGCTCAATGGGGTGGACCTGCGGGGCCGGCACCTAGAACGCAGCAGTGGCAGCGCCTTTGAAAAGTAGAGCAAAGCCAGAGGTCGGTAATTTTTGCTGCAAAGAATCACAAAAGCTTCTGGGCTGTGCACAAGAAGGGACATACATGTCAGTGCAATTCAGCAACATAAAATAAAGAAATACAAATAAACAAGAATCAGCAAAGCATCTCTGATTAGATTTTATTCGCTACTAGAATCTAATCAGAGATGCTTTGCCAATTCTAGTCTAATGACCTGCTCCAGCAGGGTTAGAAGGGAGTGTGTGTGTATATGTGTGCATGGCTGTCAAAACTCCAAAAACAGGTCAAGTAGCTCTGGGGAGGCCAGTCATAAATTAGAACACTTGCTAAGCAACCGGCCATTAAGTGAGGACCACTTGTATTTGGTTTGCCAGTCACCTGGCCATGCCCACCCAGTCACATGACCATCAAACAACATCTACCCGGTAATGTGACCAAGCCACGCCCAGCCAGCAAGCCACGCCAGCCAATCATGTGACCAGCAAGCCACGCCCACCTGGTCACGTGTCCAGCAAGCCATGCCCATCCAGTCACGTGACCAGCAAGCCATCCCCTCAAATTAGGCCACACCCACAGAAATTTGAAGCCCACCCCTGGGTGGGGGGCACCAAGGATGAGTTTGTAGCATACCACCAAGGGGGCGGTGGACTGAAAAAGTTTGGGAACCACTTTAGAACCACTGCATTACACTTTGCCATTCTTAACATTTACAGCAAAACTATAGTAAATCATGTGAAATATATATGTGTGTGTATTTGTATAATATGAAACAATAAGGAGTGATAGAATTTATTTTATATTTTTATTTTTATCTTGTTTTAGTGCATTTCAGGCAAATTGAAATCCTGAAATTGTATCTTTAGTATATTTTGGATCTGGAAAAAAAATTGCCATTAAGCAAGAAGCTTTAAGGAGCTAATATACTGCATTTGTCCTTTCTTTCCCAGATTTTCCAAGATATTTTTGGCATGGCTCTTATTATTTTGGTAGCGATTGGCTTCAAGACCAAGCTTGCTGCTCTTACTCTGGTCATCTGGCTTTTCATCATCAACCTGATTCAGAATGCCTTCTGGAACATCTCCAGCTACAGCCCCCTTCATGATTTCCTCAAGTATGACTTTTTCCAGACCATGTCTGTCATAGGTGGCCTGCTGCTTGTTGTGGCATTAGGACCTGGGGGAGTTTCCATGGATGAGCACAAGAAGAAATGGTGAAGATGGACTCTATAGGGTTTAGTGGGATGGAGGGAGAGGGTTGGGAGGAAAAAGGGAGAGGAGATAAACTACTGCTTCTACAACCTGTGTAATCTTTGACTCTCTTGAGATTTATCATAGTTCACAGTTGCCTTATCAGGATAGGAAAGCTTTTGTTTTCCACCCTGTTTGAGACATGTAAATTAAAGTCAAATTATATATCCATATATATTGATCTTGTGGTTTTTAAAATTTCCATCTTCAAAATCCCATAACTTCCTAAAGCATTTTTTTAAAAAGAGGTTATACCGTATTATTCAAATATATCTTCAGACAGGGAAAATTAAAAGTGCCACAAGTGATTTTTACTGTCCTTGGATTTGAATTAAAAAAACGAAGAAATAATGGAATGATAATTTTTAAACTGTTGAAATAACTGCAGTGCCCCTTTAAATTGTGGGAGTAATAAAACATGAAAAAATTCAAATAGAGGCACTTTTTACATCTGCTGTACCATCTGTTATTCTAATTTCCTGTCTGTTTTCAGAATACAGATAGAAAACTGCATGACTATGCCTGCATTTGTTGCATTAGGTTAATATGTGATCACCTATTGTTGAATAAATTACTATTGGCTGATCAGGGTCAGAAATAGGCCTGATCCAGCTTGGAGTGCAGGGGAAAAAATGCCCCCTCTCCCTGCAAACACTCATGGGAAGGACAACTGAACAGAGATTCAAAATGATGCCGGTTCCTCCATTCTAAGCCCCCTTTCACTTCTCTCCTGATCACTTGACCCAGAGTGAACCAAGTGCCATTTGCCTTGTGCTTCCAGGTGCACACGTACACATACACAAATGCCACATGAAAACAAACATGTATCCACCTTGATTAGATACTCTCACATACCCATATATGTGCACCTGCCCCAATTGGGCCCTCACATATACACACAGAGGCAACATGTTTTTTCCTTCTACATAATATAATACTCTCCTCTCTTCTGGGAAGAAGGCAATGGAAAGCCTCTTCTGAACTCTTGGCGAGAAAACTAATTTTCTGTTAGTCCAGGCGGTCACCAGGACACCAAAGCACTAACACCCCCCCCCCCCTCAATAGGGGTTTATTTCCTAACAAAATGCACGCTGGAGGATAGCTGTCAACATAATTGGATATTAAACTACATAGATATCTGTATAATAAATGTTCCTCAACTAGAAGAACGGTTCGGATTCGAGGACAGCGACGTTCCGAATTGCTCGCAGGGGTCTCCAATCTTGGCAACTTTAAGCCTGGCGGGCTTCAACTCCCAAAATTCCCTAGCCAACAAAGCTGGCTGGGAAATTCTGGGAGCTGAAGCCCGCCAAGCTTAAAATTGCCAAGATTGGAGACCCCTATTCTATGGTACAGATACGCCTTCCCCAACTCCTCCTCCCCACTATTTGACTACAAGTCCCATAATCCCAGGCAGGCTCTTCGAACCTGCCGCTGCCTTTTAATTGCCCAAAGGATTCAAAGAACTACCTCCTCTCGGACCAAGCGCCTGCCCGCTTTGCCGGCAGAAGCGACCTACGGGTACTCTCGCGAGGAGAAGCCACGCAGAAACGGGATCCGGCGCTTGCAGCTAGCTCGGGAGTCAAGCTGTTCTGGCGCGGTTTGATGATGTAATTGCGAAAGAGGCGGAGTCAAAAAGAGCAAGCGAAGGGACAGGGAGGTTAGTGGAGCGGTGCGCCCCCCCTCCATTTCCCTTTAGGATTGCCCTCCTTATCCCGGTGGGGGCATATTCGGCTAGAAACCAGACAGGTTCCCCTCCATTCTTGACCAGGCCTTAACACGCCCCCCCATCGCCCCTTTTTTTCGGGACGGACAGAATGAGGTTCCTCCCCTGGACAGTAGGCACCTTATTGCTGAGTGCCCACATTTGGGGGCACAAGAAGGGTATGGTGTTGCTCATTCTCTATCCTTCTGATGACTGTGGAAAAGGTGGGGGGGAGTGCCTTACTTGTGGGGACCGCATCGTGGATGCGTACTGTAGATAGGAACTTTTCCCAAACTGATGTCCTTCGTCTTTGCATTACAGTACCTTGATTAACCAGCCAACTGGAGATGTTGGAAGTTGTATTCTCACCTTTCTGAAGTGCCTGAAGTAAGTGGTGATGGATATGCTGTAGGATTCACAACAACACAATGTGTTTCAACCTGTCGATTATAAAGGTGGAGGCTGCATTTGAGCCACCAGCTAAACTTGCTGATTGTGAAATTGTTTATAAACCCTTTCCTAATAAAATCCAAGTATTATGCTAATATGTAAATCTATAATGGGTGACTGCATTTTGGAAATTGTGAAGGAGTTGGAACAAACTTCACAGCCTGGTGCTTCCAAGTTATGTTGGACATTAACTTCTATTACTTGCATAACAATTGAGAATAATGGGATTGATGTCCAATATGCTAGGAGCTTTATATATTGGTGTTGGAAACATACATTGAACTCATATGCTTAATTTTGATGTAGGATGAGGCTTCGTAAAAGATGTAAGCTTTGAAAGGTAGTTCTGTTCAGGGTCATGGAAAATTATTCTTGGAGATTTGAGGTTTTTTTAAAAAACCTATAATGATTGCTCAATTGATAGTTTAATGGAAAGTGCTGTATTCAGAAACTGTACATTTAAATATTGGAAGCCAACAAGGGAGAAGAGTCAACTTCATTCCCTGCTTTCAGTATTTTAGAGGCATCTTGGTAACAATCTTTGTGAGATGGGTGGCAAATAAATTTAATAAATAAAAACAAAATAAAAATGAGATGCTGTAAATGAGATGAATTCAGATTTACTGTTAATTTTTTATGATACCTCTACCAGAATTTTTTTAAACTTCATTGTTGCATATTTAGACTGTTGCTAAGCAATAACTAAAGGATGTTTCACAATGCTCAGAGGCATGGTATTGTGTATTCATTGCATGTTCCATATTGGAATTATGGCATCAAAAGCAGGTTGTTTTGCTGAGTCTAAATGGCTTTGGCTTGTGTGCTCCCAAAAGTGATGTGTTTTCATTTCAAGGGAATCCTAGAAATAACATTCTCTGGTTTTTCTTCTAGACCTTCACTCTTGCCTGACTAAATCACTATCACCATGGTAAGTGAATGTAGGATTTTGTATCAAATCCACAACTGCAATTTCTCTTCCGTCATTCTTGAACCTCATGAGGATAGATGCAACTCCTTTTGCAATATATATAATTACAGTTTACACTTAATAGCATTTATCCAATCCCACATGGAAATCTTATTTCACAATCAGGACCTCTGTGGAAATTTGACTTTGCTACAATTGGTAGCTGTCATGGTGCTCTGTACTGCCAAACATGAGCTAGTCCTTAATTTGCATGAGTCCCTAGAAGACTGGCTTCTTTTGTCAAAGATTGTGATGAATATAAATTAAATAATGAGAAATACTTCTTATTAAAGAGCTGCTTCCTATTTGGTGGTAGTTTGCGGACTGAATCTGTGGTGGTACCATTTGTATAAATTAATCTACCTCAATTCTGGAGAATGTTTGTGCCCTTCAAATTACTCAGTTTGCTATCAAACAACATGGTTTGGTTTCTTTGGTTTCTCACAGGGGGAAAGGAAAGGAGTCAACAAGTATTACCCACCTGATTTTGATCCAGCCAAGGTAAGAGGTCCATCTGGAATGTCGGAGTAACTCAAGATTTGGGGGAAGGGGAGATAGTTGGAATATTGGGTCATAACAAGGAATTTAAACAAATAGGGCTTTCACAGGATAAATTTACTAGTTAAAATACAGGGTCAGTATTTGGTGTCAGAAGACTTCAATAAGATAAAATAGAATTAAATGTAAGCGTTAAACTTTCTGGATTCTGCTTTTATGTATAGTTGTATGAATTGAAATACAATTGAAATAATTGAAGTGGAAAAGGAATTTCAGGGTATTTTGGCTTTTGTTTTAGTTGTGCGTAAGATGATTCAGAGGCTATTGTATTTTTCTTTGGAAGAACAAGTACTATTTATTATAGGAAATAGTTCCCTTATTTACTTTTACACAATCAACAAGGTAGGAAGAGTATGATGTCTGCTTGCCAGCAACAACTGATCTGTTTCTGTTTCAGCTTCTGATCTGTCCCTTAATCAGCCGAAGTGCAAGTAACTAAAGAGATTTTAATTTCAGGATATCTGATTTGATTAATGGTCCTAAGCATGTCCCTTCTCATAGCAGTGCCTTTTTTCCTAAATTAATACTAATATGTGGGAATCTGGGGCAAAGAATTATCTGCAGAAAGAACATAAATTAGGCACTTAGAAGATTTTTTTTTTTGCTCTGGTTGTTGTTACTTCAATTATATTTTACTTTTTAAATTTTTATTTTACTTTTCGTAGAATTAAAATTTGTATCCCAAATTCCTGACCAGCAAAAAGGTCAAAAAGATAGCAAGAGCTATGTGGTGTTATCTCAAATTCATGGCACCAGTTCCATCTCTAGAAGTCTAGGCTATTTTAGTATCCTTCTGGTGTCAAACATTAATTCTCTGTATACTATCTACTGCACTGAACTGGACAAGAAGACCCAAATGTATTGCAGAAAAGAGCCACAAAAGTCCAGTCTTGCCAGTAGTCCAAAAAGGTGCCATAATCAATTTTATCAAAAGCTGAGAAGTCCACGGGAACAAGGAGGGCTGGATTCTCCCCATTAGGTTCTTGACATAGGAGATCAAAGAAGTCTCAGCATCATTTTCTGACCAAATGTTTGGCTGAAATAGTTCAAGTCTTCAATAGCCTTCAGAAATATCTGGAATTGCAACACTAGTCTCTTCTTGTTAGTCAGAAAAAACAATGTTTTTTTCCTCTTGTTTCATATACTAACAAAGGTTGAAGGAAAATTTACAAATGTGTATTGTACAGATCTGTCAGAACCTTTGGCCAAATCTTTTGATTGGTCTGCAGTCTCTGCAGGAAGGAAGGGGTGAAGGGGTAAAGGAATGTGTAGAGCCATAAAGACCTTTTGGAATTATCTCAGAAGTTCCTGCTAAGAAATTAGGAAGGGAGCGTTATTTATTTGTTTAAAACATTATGATTCTTCTTTGCATAAAAAATTTCAAAGCAATAGAGATACTGTATTTCCAAAGAGTTCTCTGAGATGACCTCAAATTTTGTAGCCAAGCCATCAGTGAGTAGGGAGATAAAGTGGAATTATCAGATTATGCAGATTTCCCAAATTGGCAGCCAATTCAAGTATTTGAGTACAAACCAGAAAAAAAAAAACTTTGGAAAATTTAGGAACAGTAATCCAGGCATGCAGTTGATTTTCAGTTGGAAATTAAGCAAAAAAAAAAAAGTTTTTGTTTCTTTTTGTTCTTATACTACGGCTTCTTAATTGTTACCAGATATAGGTGGAAAAATTCATGAATGTACCATCTATGTACAAGAAGCTTAACTGACTTTTATCTATCTCTCTTGCAGCATGGCTCCCTTAACAAATATCGCAATAGCCATCCACTGCGGGAAAGAGCTCGTAAACTCTCCCAGGGCATCCTCATCATCAGGTAAGGCCACCAAGCCACATCTGTACTTCGAGCAGGAACTCTTGGGTTCTGGAGGCAAGAAATGTTGACTACATCCAAGTCATAGCAAGGAAACATTGGAAGTGGTTCCCTTTCTATTCTGATAGGGCTTGTTTTCCCACTAAGTAAAATTCTGAATGTTTCTGAAGCATGCATACACATGTCACTTCTTTCCCAGATTTGAGATGCCCTATAACATTTGGTGTGATGGCTGCCAGAATCACATTGGAATGGGTAAGTGTGGATATATCCCTCAAACAGTACACCATATAGGTAGTGATTGGGAGTTACATGCAGGAGAAAAATCTATTACAGTGTGACCACTATTTAGTTAATGTAAAGCGACATTGTTTTTCGTCGTTCTATTGTATATATATTGTATATATAACACAGTTCTCACATTATCTTTTTACTGCATTTTAGGTAAAATACACATTGATCTTCATGGATAAACTTTCTAAAAACATTTTTAGCCTGTTTGCCAAAATGGATAAGAACACTTTATAATCACTAAAGCCCCTCTTTTTATCAGCATTTCAGCTTATAGATTTGATTGATATTATTCAAAAGTAAATGTCCCTTTTCAATTATTACTTCAGAAAGAAACCCCACAAGCCCCCAAATTTGACTAGTAATTTAGAGTGAATTAGATAGCATTCCAGTTTATGTAATAAGAAATCAGTAATAATCATGATACTAAATGTAAAATGTTAAAACGGGAGGAATAGAATTCAAGGGCTTAGAGATCTGAACTCAGTTCTGGGTTGTGGACTTGGCCTCCCTGAAACTTATTCTGGCCAAGCTTATTTTTTCTATCTCCTCTTGACCACGTTTCCAAATTTAAGGAAATTGGACTTGTTTCGAGATATAAGGCAGAGGTCCTAAAGGCATGTTATGATGGAATTGCTTTAAAGAATGGATATGATGGTTTAAAACACATTCAACGATTTGTTAGTAACTGCAGGTTTCTAAGGAGAGTTTGTGCCCTATAAAACACCTTATACAAAGGTGAGATGTCCTTTCTTCACCTTGTTTCTGCAGGTGTTCGCTATAATGCGGAGAAGAAGAAGGTCGGTAATTATTACACCACTCCTATTTTCAGGTGGGTGCTCTGAAGATGGAAGAGACTGTTGTCATTGACTGTTTGTTGGACAGTGCCCTAGTGGGCAGTTGGAAAGGATCAGTCCAGCAGATGGAAAAGACTTGGTCAGGCTATATTATTCTGTGCTAGCATTTTTCACCTAAATTTCTCAATAATACAAGAAAGGGCAAATTCTTATGACCTAGCTAATTTATGCAACTTCTGCATGGTTTGCTTTGTGATATATCAATCCACATCTATTAAACATATAAGAAGCACAAAGCTCCATTCCAGAGCCAAAGCTTGCTCAGTATCCATCTAGTAACCAAAATGTCACAAGGAACTGCTGAAGTATTCTTTGAGGCCATTCCTAAATCCACAATTTCTTTAAAAGTTGAGTTCTGGCTGCTGAATTCTTTTACATTGAGTGGTCAGTAATCCAGAACAAAAACAGATCTCTTTGGGTCATTGAGCTTGCATGAAAAAAGAAGAAAGATATTTGGCGTGAAGGCAGGAGGGTGGCTTTTAGGGTTTCTGGCATGCATAGCCTCAGACCTGGTGTACTCATTCCCCTTCTTGCTGCGTTGCATTTGGCTTTATAGGTTCCGTATGAAGTGCCACCTTTGCCCCAACTACATTGAAATGCAGACCGATCCTGCCAGTTGTGACTATGTCATTGTCACTGGTGCCCGGCGTAAGGAAGAGCGCTGGGATGCTGCAGCTAGCGAACAAGTAGTGGCCACAGGTGAGTTTTGGGACCAGTAGCATCCTTGAGCATTCTTTTAACTAGGCTTGGCTTGATATGTGTGTCTGATTCCTAGCCCATGAGGAGAAGCAGAAGCTGGAGACAGATGCTATGTATCGATTGGAGCACGGCACACAGGATCAGAGCAAGCTTCAGCGAGCTCTCCCTACCCTCCAGAATATTCAGGAGGCTCAAAGTGCCTGGAAGGATGATTTCGCGCTCAACAGCCGCCTTCGGCGGAAATTCAGGGTAAATAATGAGAAATTATAGTAGTGGAAGGGAGAAGGATTCCTTTGAATATTCCTAGAATGATGTTTTTAAAGGTCAGCAAATGAAACCAGAATAGAACTGCAATTGCATTTCAAGTCATAATACATTTTTCTTTTTCAAAAAAACTGATAAGCTTTTCAACATTGTCGTTTCCTATTATGATTGTACATCTCATTTTTTTAAAAAAGAATTGTTTCTGTGTTCATCGTTCTTCCATCTTATCTCTATCCCGTTTCTCCTTTCAAAAGCTTTAAAAGAAACCTCCACATTTTTATCTTATATGGACTGTAAGAGCACTTTTTCTTCATTTGTAATAGAAGTATTTTCAAATTCAGGATAGCAGGATTTTATGTTATACTATTATATTGTTCTGTTACATAAGCCACTTATATAACAGTCAATTTTTATATAGTAAGTCATAATGTAGTAACTACAGATAACAAAGCAAAAGACTGAAAAGAAAAATCTTGGATTAAAATTGTGGACTTGTTCTTACTTTAATTTTCTTAAGCTTCTTTGGGATAACTGAGCTCTTTGGAGGTAGTATTTAAAAAAGGTGTCACTTTTCTCCTGTATTGTATTTTTCAAACCTGTTTTCTCTTAGGCCTATGCTTTTTTTTTTGTCTGTTCGGCTTCATGGTAGTAGTGGGTGTGCCTCATGCGTCGTGCTGCTTCTGTCCTCTTTCCCTTCTAACAGGAAGAGAAGAAAGTTCTGCAAGAAGAAGAGAAAAAAGACCTTTCTTTGCAGGCAAGAGCAAATTTAAGCATCCCACTTGTGCAGGAAGCTGAAGAAGATCGGCATCTGGCAGCACTCCTCAAATACCAGAGTCTTGACTGTAAGTAAAGGGATCTTTGCAGGGGGAAGGATGTGGGGCTTAGAGATGCGACTTTCTCATTCAAGAATGTGTCCTTGACGAAGTGTCACTGTCAACTCATAAAACATTCCTATGACTGTTTTAGAGTTGCTATGAAAGGGGTGGGGGTGGAATTTGAAGGAGCAGTGCAGCAGTTTAAAACCAAAAGTGCATTCCATTCTTACCTTGCAAAGATTGCAACTAAGCTACCGGAGTTTCTGCCCACGAAAATCCCTAAATGGAGAACGTGATTGATGACTCTCAACTATGAACGTGTTTCATTGGAGAATATGAATTAAGACACACCCAGAGGGGGGAACAGGGTCATAGGTGATAGTAAATTACGTGTCTCAGAATCAGCTTCATACAGGTCATGCCGACATGTTCACTCCTAATAAATCCTTTGAAGTTTTTGAAGCTTGGCTTGAGGCTCATGATTTAATTAGGGCAACTGCTGGAATCCTGACAGTCACATTTTGTTGGCTGCACTGTAGAAGGAGTTGCTTTTAAGAAGTGGGTTTGGATTGCTGCCCCCACTTCCCAAACAGTGCTTCTTTGTCTCCTTTATTGTATAAGTATTTATATTAATAAATACTGATTTTAAGAATACTGTATATTTTGCTGGTAAATTGACTCTACACCTTTGCAGTTGTGAGTGTAATTTTTAATAATTGCTGAAAATCTGTCATCTTCCTCCATGCAGTGATTATTGTTAGGATTTTTCCCTATAGAGGTGGAAAACTGCTCACCCTATATCCCAAATGCAGAAATATACAAATAGAGTGAGCTCAGTTTCATAACTAGACCTCTGTTAGTCCTATTTCTGTCATTGTGGCATGCTTACTTCTTCCTTTTCAGCCTACGAAGACAAGCAGAAACAAAAACGCAATGAGATTGTGGATCGCCCATGGTTCTCAAGTACCAAAACCAATGACACCCTGAAAAAGTTGGCATTTGTTGGAAAATCTCCATCTAGCAAGTCCCTTGTACCTCTGAACAGCCTGGGTGTCGTGTGTCGGAAATCTAGGGATACCAAGCAAACATCCAGTGAAGGAGAGACCTTTGATGCCCCAGCACAAGTCAACAGGCAGGACAGTGGAACAAATGAAATGTTATTTGACTCTTCCGGACCTTCAGGCGGCTCCCAAAAGCCTGAGGGGAGGAGTCCTCCCTCTAGTTTTGCTGCTTCTCTGGTTGCAGATTATTCAGACTCTGCATCTGGTTCAGAAGCTGAACTTTGAACTGAGTTTATGGATAGAGAGAAAATATGGCCGGAAATGGTGTGCAAATCAGTGTCTTTTTTCCCTCCAAACAACAAAGGTACTCTTTGCAGTTGGTATATGAAGCAATTGGAATATGTGAATAGAAACGTCTGTGAGTCTGTGTGTGAGAAAGAGAGAGCGCGAGCATTCCATGGCCAACTACATTTTCTTATATCTTCTGCACTTGTTCCCCAATTATTTAAACATAAACCCATTGTTTTGTCCCAAGTTCCATAAAATAAACAGTGCTATCTCCTTAGCCTTTCTTTGTCGTACTCAAAATACAGTATAACAGTTATATGCTATTAATTATAGGAACTGTCTGTGCCAGGACGGGGGAAAGATAAAATGAAGGATCATCTAGATTAGTATTTCATAAACCTTTTTTGCTCTCAGCTTTTGTTTGGGTTACACTGGTATTTACCATATTAAAATTTTCATATAATGGCTTAATTGGGTTCATATAGCAAGCTTATTTGGTTTTAGCATAATCATATTTGTAAAGAACAGCCTTCTGCAGCTGAGTTGTACCTAGTAACTTAACATATCCATGGGTTTTTTTCTAGAAGGAATATGGAAATGTTTCCCTTCTGGCAATTTTTTTTTATTTCTAAGGACCTGGGATATGTTGGAAAATTCCCATTCAAGCACTAATCAAGCTAGATCCTGTTTAGCTGCTTGGCCCAGCAAGCCAACCAGATGCTGAGTTGAGTTCCAATGCTGTTTGTAAACCATGGTTAAAAACTTCCTGTATAGTACAGATACCACCTCACCGATCCAGATTGACTGCTATTTGGAAACAAATAAAACATGCTGAAGTTATAGCAGCTTTCGATGAATGAAATAGTTATTTGATTTAGTTTTTTTTATTATAAAATAAAATATTTTTATTATATAAACCTATTCATACTTTTCAATAAAATCCAAAGGAAGCATCCTGCTAAATCTAAGCAATTAAAAAAAAAATGTAGACTTATAATGATCAGCCCTCCAAGTTTTTAAAGCAATTGTTTGTAAATAAGCATTTACAATTCATCTCAAGACATTTTCAATTCAGTCAGAGATTACAACAATTTAGATCTGAAAAAGATGGTAGGAAAGCCCATCTATAAGTTGCATCTGATGAACTGATTTGCAATTCAGGAAAGTTTATGTCTTTTAATAAAACTTGTTAAGTCAGAAAAGGCCTGCCAGTCTCCTAAGCTGAAAGAGCAATTTTGATGTTCCTGTTCAAGGTTCACAAGAGCCAAATACGACAGTGAACATAGCTAGGACTGCAATTCAGACTAGGATGGTTCGTACTTAATCAGATAAGATATTGCATATGTCTGATAACTAGATCTTGGCAAATACTCTGACAGTACAAATAAAAACCATGTCAAAAAGTTCTGTCACATTCTGGGCAAAGGAATTAACCAGGGTTATTACACGAGCATATTCAAGGGATCTTAAGCTGGGCAAAGAAGCCTCGTTCTGAAAAAAACATAAGTTTAGGAGATACCAATAGCAACTCCCTGAATTCTTCAGCCAGCATAGCTGAAGTCCACAAGTCTTAAAGTTGCCAAGTTTGGAGACCTCTGCTCTAGGAGGATAGAGAACTGAGGCACTTGCTATTGCCAGATTAGAATAGTTAGCAGAGACATGGAATTAATCATGTCAGACCAGAAAACAAGAACTTCCATAAATAGGAATGCTAATTCGTGTTGACACTATTATTTCAACCTTGCCAAAGGGCTTAAATCCAGTGGTGCTGTGGCAAAGCTTTCCAGCTAGAAAACAAAGAGGCTGCCCAGAAATGAAACTCAATTCGTGCGAAAAACAAACCTGCCGTTTCTCCGGGCCGAAGTGACAAGGCCAAGGAAATTAAAACAGCAACTGCAGTAACGTGGTCTTTTAGCCACAAGAACTAACGCAACGCTTAGAAACAAATCACGTCTCCCACAATCAAATTGTCCTCCTATGACCCTTGTGGGTTAGCCACGAACAAATGGCTTGGTATGGTTGCGGCCCACTACCGGTTGCTCGGCATCAACCCCTTTCCAAGCCTTTAATTCAGGAGCCTTCAAACTTAACAGCTTTAAGACTTGAGGACTTCAACTCCCAGAATTCCTCCTCCAGTCAACGTTAGCTCGGGAATTCTGGGAGTTGAAGTCCACAAGTCTTAAACTTGCCAAGTTTGAAGACCTAATCGAAAAGCGAACGCTTTCGCAAACATCAACGCAAAGCACTGTCGCTTTTTAGCTCCCAACTTCGCGGCTGCGCCTAAACGGCTAAGCGCTTTAGCAGCGGCGGCGGCAGGGACGCTTTCTATCCCAGCAGCGCCTGGGCAGTTCCGGCTCTGCTTCTCGGGGGTTGAGCGAGCGTCGGGCGGGAGGCGGAGAACTGGCTGGAATCGATGGCTCAGGGCAAGCAGAAATTCAAGGCGCGCAAAACGGCCGCTGCGGGGAAGAAGGCGGCGGCGGCTGCCCGCGGACTTCGCAAAGGAGGTATAGCTGGGGAAAGGCGCCGGTGGCGGGGGCGGGGGGAGGCTGGACTAGGAGCGCCAGCCTTGCTTCGTCCATAAACAGGAAGCATGGGCCGAGAGTCGCCCATCTTTCTTTTGGCTCGTAGGAAGGGCTGTTTATACACTCTGGTTAAGCAAAAACTAAGCAGCATATGGATGGTGTGGAACTTCAGGGGGTTATTGCAGCACTCAGTGGCCGTGGCCGTGGCCGTGGGTGTAATAAGCTTCTGTGTTAGCTACGTTACCATCTCGGTCCTAATCGATGGACGAATAGCAGTCAGTCAGAGCCCTAGTCGTCATTGAGCGCTCGTCTCAGTATTTACGGCAGGGATCTTCAAACTTTAAACTGAAGTCCACAAGCTTTAAGACATGTGGACTTCAACTCCCAGAATTCCTCCTCCAGTCATATTAGCTCGAGAATCCTGGGAGTTGAAGTCCACAAGTCTTAAACTTGCCAATTTTGAAGACCCTTGATTTACAGAGTGCCCGAAAGCTCGTTGCAGCTATAAATTATACGCTGCTCTTCAGAAAGCCCCTTTACTTCCTTGAGGCTTCAGTTTAAGCGCTTCTTGGGAGTGAAACTTGCGACAGAAGCAAAGCAGATGGACCCAGCTTTGAGATATGCTTCACTGTAGGGCAGTCTTTCTCACATTGGGGCAACTTCAAGAGGCGTGAACTTCAACTCCCAGAATTCCCCAGCCACCCATGCCTGGCTGGGGAATTCTGGAAGTTGGTCCATGCTTCTCATAGTTGCTCTGTTTGAGAAAGACTGATTTAGTGCATCAAAGATGATGCGTCTTATTGAAGCAGGTTGTGGATAATCCACATACCCCTCAGGCTTCATATTTTTAGGTAGGACTGGGTTCAGAAGATCCGTGCAGTTATGAAGTTCCTTGAATGGCCTTTGGTCCACTTGCTGTCTCTGAGCCTCATTTACCTTAGAGGTTGATCTAAAAGGGGATGTGGGGGAGCCATCGTGTACAGTGCTTGAAGCTGTTTAAAGGTAACACAAAAAAACAGAGTGTTATAGAATTGAACCAGAGAAGTAGCCTGCTTACTCAGCACTAGCAGTTACTCTATTTTTGAAACCAGCTTTGAGGAGTCCTTGGTGCTGTTGGAACTTAGTAAACTAGGTAGCATTATCAACGGTAGTCTAACATCACTAGCACTGATGATGTTACCTAGTTTGGGTAATGAAACATCTGCAAGAAAATAATCAAGCTCAGAGAGCACCGAGGACACTTCATTTCAGCCCTAAGCTACAGATGTTCTCCTTTATTGACGCCAACTTTGGTTAGTGCAAGTTTGCATGATCCTTAGGGTTATTATGGGAGATTTCTAAACACAAGCTTTCCAAACAGTCTTCCAATTATTCATTTGTTTTTCAAAAATACTTTGAACAGCAACAGTGGTTGAGTAGCACACAGTGTGCTAAAGAGCTTTTTCAGAGTGGCAATAAGGACATGTGTTGGACAGATTGTATTCTAAACACCAGCCACTCCCCCAATCTGGTGATTTCCAGATGTGGCCGGATTATTTCACAAACTGCTATCATGCAGGCTGCAAAATATGGGAAATACAGGTAAGTCTTCTGTATGTGGAAGGCACCATGTTGGGGAAATTGAACAAATGTGATACAAATTAATCTAATGTAGTTTTTTTTTTTCATAAGACATTGATTCAACAACAAAATATATTTTAATTATTTGGTTCCTCTCACAGGTCGTGTCATTGCGCCCAAGAAAACACGTGTGATCCAGCAACAGAAAGTGAAAAAGGTGTGCTGTCACTCAATCTCAGCCTTTTGTCCACCAATAATTGCCTTCGATGGCACAGAGTTTGTTTTTACTACAAGTCTAGGAATGTGACATAATTCATATTTGTATCCTTTTCTGAACTTGAATAGTTTAGCCAGTTATCTGTGGTCTGCTAACTACTGCAATGTGTAGCTCTGGAAGAAGATTCAAAACTTGTGGTGCATACAAAATTTAGCTGCAGAATTTTTAATTAGACAGCTGACTATGAAGATGTTTTGTCTACATTATAGAACTTCATTAACTGTCTTTTTGTTTGTCAGTACAATTAAAAGTGCTGGTGTAGATTTTAAGACCCTATATGGATACTGAAAAAGAGTACTATATCTACTTCCACAGTAAGTTGCATAGATGTGAAAAACATGGTGGTGCTCCTGGTAGGTGCAGTCTAGCCTTTTCATATATAGGTACCAGAAGCCAAATGGCATCTTTTGCCTGCCCTCTATTCAAAATCATATTTCGCACCTCCAGCAAATATGAAGATACTGCTATTGTGTAATATCCAAGGTCAGCTATATGAAGAACTCTCACTTTGCCTGATAGCAGAGCTGGATTTGATGATGTGTGAAGGGTTTTTTCACTTAAGTACAACGTCTACAAAACTTCTTTCCCAGGGTGCTTTCCTTGTCTTAAATTATTGACGTTTTTTTCAAAAATCCTTGGAAATATAGGTATTTTTGGATTTATTATGCTGATTTAATGTGTATTTTATTTAAAGGACAACCGAATAACACAAAAAGATCTTGCTTCTTAGGGAGTTGAAAGGTACCTTTGTTCATAAATCTAGCAAGACACTTGAACATTTACAGGTTTAAGCAATTATTGCTTAGCTGTCATTCTATAAACTCAGCCTTTCTCTCTTCCTCTCTCTGCAGAATCTGGAGGTTACCATCCGTAAGAAGATTGAGCATGAGGTGGTAATGAAGGCCAGTACTAAGTTACCCAAGAAACTTAGTTTGTTGAAGACCCCCAAAGTGGAAACAAAGAAAGATCCAGGACACTCTAGCAAGTCTTAACAATGTTTCATGGACTGAGATTGGTGATTGTGGCCTGCAATGCATTTACTTTTGACTGTGTTTGACTGATGTGATTTTGTTGGGTGACCATCTAGTGTGCTCCATGTTTCAGTTGGCAGAGAGTTTTCTTCTACATAAGAATCCATCTGATTAGTTCCTTGCCTGATACTGGATTGTGGGTTTATACAATAGGTTTCAAACATAACTTACTCTAGTTTCAAGTTTTCCTCCTTTGTTTTGGGGTTTATGATTTCAGTGAAAGTTACTTTGTTTTCATTCTAGTATGACCTGTGCCTGATTTGCTACTGGCTTAATTGTGTTAGACCAGAAAGGAGGATCTCATATGAGTATACAATGGGGGAGCATAATAACTCCTGAGTTCTTGCCTGGTGATTATCTGTTGATTATCTGCTTTAGTTTAGGGCTAGGGCAGCATGTTTCTAATTGGCCCTTGGTCGTGTGGCACTAGGAAGAATGATGTTCACATCAAAGAAAGGCCACTAGATTCCATTTCCCTGCTGGAAATAAAACTCAGGTCGATATGATCCAAATTTTGCAAAAGAGAGGTTTAGGTTCATTCAGTTTGTCTTACAGGTATTTAGAATTGACATAGGGGCTATTATAGAACCATAAAATTTAATGTGTTTACATCAGACATGGATTCGCATCTCTGTGTTCAGTTTTGAACATAGGAGCAGAAATGGAAATCTTGAACTTATTGTTCTCAATTTTGGGAACGTCATCCTTTCTGGAAAGTAGTTTGGCAATCATTTCTCTTCTCTCTGCTTTTACCTGTTGCCTTCTGATCACTATAACATATGCGTGATGCTTTTCTGCTTGCTGATTCTTGTCCTATTTATCTCATCCCACATCTGCTTATTATAGTTGAACCCTCCTGCCCCCACAAATTGCATAGATGGCTATAATAAACTACAGCAAGGTCAAAATGATGACGTGTGCACTGGCATCATCCTGCAGTTGCCCACATTTTGTATTTGTGTCACATTGTCTGAGGCAAGTAACAAATTGTGATTATGATATGATATCGTTAGCATTACACACTTGTCATTCTTTGCCCCCTCCATGCAGATACCCAAATTAGTTCAATAATGCAAGCTGTTAATCCTTCAGTGTATTTTACCATACTTTAAAGTACTCTATAGAATAACTGAGAACTTTGGTGTCTTTTCTAATCGGCAACCAACCCACCCCTCTCCTTTTTAAATAAGTTTAATTGCTGCAAATGTTTGCTTGTAAGTAAACTTTGCCTTTGTCTAGGTTAAGAAAATAATCTAGGAAGTACATTCTTAATTAGATAAATATATTTAAACTGTACTGTTGGTTATTCTGTACTTTGCATGCTTACCAAATTAAAAGATTATTTAAAGAATGTATAAATCTAAAGTGAGTAGAATATATTTTTATCATGGTCACTGATCAAAATAAAAACATATTGTGCAACAAAAACACTTTAAAAATAAAGTAAAAACAGAACAAGCTAAAAAAATTGCAATTGGTGCCAGGCTATAAAGTCTGCCTAATATTATAAGCAGTATAACAAAATGTAGTTACATTTAAGGAGACTGAGTCTAAAAGATCAAAATTTCCCTGGTGTTTAAAGTGATGTATAAACCTTCTGCAATATTCTGCTTGTGCATTTTCTGATATTAGCCATTGCAGGCAATAGGTTGCTGGATCAAAAAAAAATGGGTTTTTTTTTGTTTACTGAGCAAATAGGACATGAGCAAAACAGAAATACTTCAAAGCTCTACCAAAGAGCAATGCTTCGGTCCATAGGACTGTGTTTGCATTGTGCTTGAAGGCAAAATTATTTCAAGAACAAACCCCTTCCCCCATCTTCTTTTAGATTGAAGTTTGGAGTAGACGAATAAAGCAGGATAATTTATCAATGTGTCTTAGTCGTTTGGAACGGCCACCTGATCTCTTAGCAGCACCCCCATTCTAGTTTGGCTCCTGTCTCCTGAATAATTTCGTTTGTTTGGGTTTTTTTAAAAAAAATTAGGCTTGGGTTATCAGCATATCCCTTTTCTCTCCCATCGCCCAATAAAGAAACAAGAAGGGAGAAAAAAGATGAAGGAATGGGAGATGTTCCTTGAATACAGGATTTTGGAAAAGTGGAGGGAGGTACAGAAAACCTCGAAATGGCATGGGGGAATGAAATGGCATGATTATACCTTTTCACAGAAACACTAAGCACTCCAATTTTATTTGCCAACTCTCATTTGCATACTGCAAACAATCTTGCAAGTTTTGTAAAATAAACAAACCAAAAAACTCAGCAGAAATATAATTTTGTGATTGCAATGCCTGGGGTTTTTATATTGCCTTGCATTTGAAGCTTGTATCATAATAAAAAGTGGAGGGGATTATGAAATGAGAGAGGAAATAAAAAGAGAGCCCAGTTTTGGTCTGGAGATAATCAAGATTTTGTAATGGTCAAAATGTGTGCATCGTAGGGAAAGGAGAAGTTTATATGTGATGGCGAATGTACCACACCCAGTTTTCTCAAGGCATACAACATCCTTACTGACCTGACCCTCTGCTGTTGCTTGGTGACACTGGAAAACAGGATAAGAAAACACCCATCAAAAAAAGTGCACATGCAAAAAAAGAAAGAACTATTTTTCTCTACTTTCATTAACACAAGCGGGTGTCTGAAACTTCCAATGGGACTTCCAAAATTGTCCCACCAATTTCAGGAAGCCTGGTCAATTCTGTCAAGAAGAAAGGGACTCTGAGAAGCAGAAATGTTTTTGTATTTCAAAAATAATGTTTAGAGGCTAGCAGAAACCAATTTCAAAGAGGACTAGAGCAGGAAAGTGTGTGAAAATTAACTTTTCCCATCTTACTGACTAGGACATTCTGGGAGTCCATATTTCCTAAAGCGGTCAAGTTTGAATAATACTGCTCTAAACCTTTGGGACAATACTGGCTGGGAATTTTGGAAGCTGAAGTCCAGCACATCTGAAAAGTACTATTTGGGAAAGCTATTTCAACCAACATTTCACTAATATTTTGGCATCCTCAAGATATTGGTGATGTGTCTCTACCACTCTTAAAAAGAAAAGTTGTGGTTCAACACATCAGACGTTGTAGGTTGAAGGTGCTAGTTTAGTGAGTAAAGCAGCAAATTAATCACATGGGAAAATGGCTGCATCAAGATTTGCTTCTGGCATTGCAGACTTATATTGAGTTCCTTCTGAACCTCCAATACAAGTCTACATAGACCACACTGCGCATGCAATCCCCAGATTGGAAGAAAAAGTGCTTTGATAGGGGAACCTTTGGAATACATATCTCTAATAGTCTACGGCTTTAGAGATTGCAGTGAAAATGGATCCGCGGATCTACTTTTGAAGCAAACCAAAATTCTTTTCACTTCTCTGTCCTACAGTGGAAAATCAATACCTGAAATACAAAGAAGTTCTTGCTGTGGTGTATTTTGGGATGAATATCCTTGTGCAGACAGTTCTTAACTAGATTTCTTTAAAAATTGTGAAAGAAATAGCTGAAGGCTGTCAAGTTTAAATTCAGAAGCAGATCTGGAGTAGCATTTTCTAGCAGGTAATTTTATTTGCGCCAGGATTTTCTATTTAATTTAGTAGCAATTGTCCAAATATAACTTTTCACTCACATAGGACAGGGGTCCCCAACCCCCAGGCTGAGGCCCACTACTGGGCCTTCAACCCTTCCCAGTCACAGAAGTGGTAAGCGAGAGCGCACACACATCCCCACTTACACTCCATTTGTATGAGGGGAACCCCCCCCCCCCCCCCCCGGCTGGTCCACAAGATGAAAAATTATCCCTTTGCTGTCACCTGATTGGAAGAGATATAGATAAGGAAGAGACAGGGATGGACAGGGATGTGATGTAGGGCCTCTTAAACAAGCTTTTAATTCAAATTAAAGAGAGAGAGAGAGAGAGACCAGATCTCAGCAGAACATCCTGCAAAGATAAATGAGGCCTCTTCCTCTGCAAAAGATTACTTTGAGATCACAAAATAATTTACCGTAGACTAGCAACACAATTTGGAAGGTATTGCCCTCCTCTCTTGATGGCTGAATACTGCTCAGTTTTCACCAGCTATGGCCAGAAGAGGTCAGTGTTGGAGACGGAATACTGGATTTGCAGAGGATCATTCTGAAAATTTTAATGAAATGAAAGGGAAATAAAATATTTTTCTTAAAATCATGTTATGCATATTTGTCCGATGGACCAACGATTTACTGAGGCATGGGAGAATCTCTGGCCTCCCTTCTTCCTTCCTAGGGCCACTGAAATAAAATCATTGGCAGGTTGGAAGAGGCTATGCGAGCTATCAAGTCCAATTCTAAATGCAGTTGCTGGCAGCTTTCCTACAAAATACCATAAATCGGTTCCTCTGTGTCCCTGCACCTGAAACACCAGAGACTGAATCTCAATCTTCTTCTCTTTGACATCCTTTCAGTGCCCTTGAATATCGCCTCCAGTTCTCCTCTTTATGTTAAACACTGTCAGTTTTTTCAACCTGTCTTCAAAGTAGTTTCTAGTCCTGTCAATTTTAATGTGTTTCTTTTGAATTTGTTTCATGCAGGAGGGAACAAACTCTTGTTTCGTTTTTTTAAAAATGAACAATCAGCTCATTAAGGCCAAGGAGAAGACAGTTCCTAGTCCCTTTCCCAGGGACATAGTTTTTTTCCTCCATTGTTGGGAAAGGTGATGGGATGGTCTTTCCTAGTGCTCTTCCATGAAAATAATTCTTCTCTGCTGATAGGGAAGCAGTTTTTCAGTTTATTTGGAGCCAGCTGTGGCACTGAAATCTTACAAAGCAATCCTATACAGGTCCAATTAGAAATAAGTTCTACTGAGTTAAGTGGGATGATCCTTGGGGAAATGTCTAAAGGGTTGCAACATCACCATTACTATTTTAAGTACATCAGGAAATCCCTCCAAAGGTTTCAGTTGTTTGAATCAAAGAAGATAGTTGGCAGTTTTCTTTTTTAGGCTGCTGTCATGTTTTCCTTCCATTTGTGGAAACCAAAGGGAAGCCTCTGTTCTCTGCAGGTCTGGTCTATCACCTATTCATAGGTTAATAAGATGTGTGGGCCTTCCCAGTTGGAGAGAGTACAATGGCACAGCAGTAAGGTAGAATGGAAAATCTTTCTCGCTGACAAAGGACTTCAAAAGGATTTATTTGAATGGGGAAAGAGGAAATAACGTGGCAAATAATATGCAGGATGAGAAGTGCTTGTTTGGTAAGGCAATTGCTCTGTATCAGGAGGAAAAAAAACAGTAAAATATGCCTTTGCAATGTGCATGGTGTTTATGAAAGAAGTATGGGCAGGGTCACATACGTGAAAAAGCTTCTCTAAACATGACATCTTCATGCATTTACAGCTTCCAGTATAGCCATTTTTATAATGCCTTCTGGTTCTTATCATAGAATGAGAGCAATTTCAACAAATACAATTCAGCCTCGTACTAGCTTTAATGTTTGCTCTTCTACTTTCATGCGTAGTTAAGGAGTTAAACTAGGATCAGGGAGACCCAGGTTCAAATTCACTCTCAGTCACGGAAGGACATAGGGTGAAGGGCAGGATATAAACCTAATTGAATTGAATGAATGAATGAATAAAAGAATTGAATGAATGAATGAATGATGGAAGAAATGGAAAGAATCTTGAAAATCATCTAATTCAACTCATTGTCAAGTGCAGGAATCTACTGCTTCAGCATCCTTGACAGATGACCGTTCAGCTTTCATTGAACGTTTCCAGTGAAGAACAGACCACCATCTCCTCAAACAGTTTGGTCCATTATTAAATGCTCTAATTATAGTTGGAAAATCCTTCCTGCTGTCCAATCAAAATCTCTTCCTTTATAATTTAACCATTTTTAACATCTTGTTTTCTAGAAAATGCTGGATAACCATGCCTCATCAAAATATGATTGAATCTTCATAGTGTCCTCTTAAGATGTTTGCTAT